CAACGTTGTACGTGGAGCCAGGGGGGTTTTCGAAAGCAAATGTACAAGACGGCGAGAATGAAAATCTTTGAAGCGCGGCCGATATGGTCGTGTGCAATCTGTTGACCAATTACAATTAGGCGAGTCGCGTAGGTTGATAATAAGCCAGCACTAATCAGTGATGAGGAGCTGTTGTGCACGGTATTGTGTAAATCGTCTAAGGACGAAAAAAAGACGTACCTTCTCCCCATCTTCCGTCGCTAGTGGACGCTGGATTAAGCTCGTTCCTAAACCGCGAGGGGAAAAGACGCTGATCCAGAGGCACGAACAGCTTCACGCACATTGCACTCGCTGAGCACATACACACGGCGTCGGTTCTTGGTCGGTATCCAAGCGTGCGAAGGCACAGAGACACGGCACTTCGGCGTGCCAAGGAGGCTTTGAACACGCCGCCAGCCCTTCCTTTCGACGCGTTGTGCCTTTTTCCTGCGACACTGCACTTTCGTAAAATTTTCCACGTGTTCACAACGGCAAGTCTCAACAATACACAGAGTCTTCAAAAAACTTCTTCGGCGAATGACGACGAACGAGTAGAAAACGTGTCGTCAGCACGCTGGAAAACCGCAGCAAAGGCTAGCAAAAACGGCAAATCGTATCCCAAGCGAGTGAAGCCCGGTGGCTTCACTTGCGCTGCAGCGAACAAGCGGGGAAGCGCGATCCAGCAATTGTCATAGAGATCAGTGGTCACGGTCGACGCGGTGGACGAAATTGGTTGTGCAAAGTGTTTTAGGCTACATCAGCGTGAAAGTCTCGACAAAATGACCTTCGATTGTGACAAGGATGCAAAATATTGTCGCGTGAAGTGTTTATCGACCCCTGTTTTCAAGTTGGCTCTCCACTCTCAGGGCGTGTTAGCCCTAACCGAGACAAGTACGGAGCTGTGGGTCTGTGAAGCTCACGGGGCTCACGTCTGTCTTCCCGTTGGTTCTTCTGTCAACGAGCTTATTCGTATGTACTTACTAATTTTCGCATAACCGTAACGTATTGTTATTTACCACCTTGTTTATTTACACTTGCAGGGCGTATCCTTCAATTCGATCAGCGCGTTAAATAGTGGCAGTACATGATCTCGGCGATCAGCTGATTGTCGACACCTCTGCCGTTCGCATTAGATTGCGGCGCTTTTAAGTAATAAAACAACGAAAATTCAATTTCTTTCGTTTTCTGAGTTTTGAGACAATCTTCAGTGAATTTTCTTATCTCGCGAGTACAATCTTGGCTTCAGAAAACTGTATCGTTCCAAAACCATAACTTTTTTGGTGATCGCGATTTTTTAAGAATATTTTGCTTTATATCTTTCATTTTCATTCGTGGCGGCGACAAATCGTAACGACTACTATGCTAGATTCGTTCATTGCTATATCGGGGCAGGCTGGGGCAGGCGATGCGAAGAGACGACTGTTCTTATCGGCACGATGTGATGTACTAGTGGGAGTTGTTTTTTTTTTTTTGTTCTTTTTCTGAACTTGACAGTGTGAAACTGAAGTCCGTTTGAGGCTGCAGCGGATGTTCAACGACGGTACAGTGCAGTTCTGTCACCTTGCTGATAGCAACGAGTACCGTCGATGCAAGGTCTCGTGACCTGACCTCTGGACGACTTCTATTCGACGATTTCCGGGCATTTTCTCATCTGCCGTGGCGAGTTCGTCACTGCTTTGAACTTGATCGGTCTCAGGCTTGACTTGATATAAGTAGTCATCTTACCTGCCTACTTATATCGATGATGTTTTGTCTTCAGCGATGTAGCGAGTTGAGTCCCCGATTGGCTCCTTCACCTCAAAATGTGAGCACGAAAACTACAACCACTGTCAAAATATCCTGTTATCAACCGATATTAAACACACAATCACAGATGTAAAGAACATTCCTGTTTATTTAAAGCTTTGACTTCTGTTATTGAAAGCTAAACAAAAAAATGATTGAATTTGGAGACCTTTAATTTGTTACTCACCGAAGAAATACAGCGAAAAGCAGTCGCCGACGACGGCCACAACGGCAGTTTTTTTTTTACATCACGCGATTCCTCTCCGCAAATCGTATTCGTTTCTCTGAGCGTTCCCTAGTTCGCTCTGTTTGTCCCTACATTCCCTACGCAAATCCAGCGTTTAGCTAGGGGCGCGTCTGTAAAGCCGGCTTAACGTTGGTGCAACCGGAATTTAAACCCGTGCTTACCTGAGCTCGGTTTAGGGCGCTAAGCCGGCTTAGGAAAGTGCCGCTTTGGGTTAAGGTAGGCGGCGTGGGTGCAACCGGCCCTAAATCCGCTTTTAAAGATGGGACCAGCTGCTCTTCAACGGGCGGCAAGCGGGTTGTACTTCGTTTCAGCTTCCGTCCGAGCGCAGCCAAAGGCTGAATGACGGTTCACAACTTCGAGAAGAGCATTCCTACGCACCACAAAGTAGTGCGTAAAAGTAATACTTTTAAAATAACTGTTTTGTGCGTAAACATTGCACAACATTCGAGACGTGTACTGCAGAGAATGATTTGCAACGAAAGGAATTAAACATATATGTAAATGCATCTGGTTTGGTGAAAACGCGTACATCCGCTGGCAACACGGCTGCATCGCTCGGTTCTTCTATGTCATTTCGTTCCCATAATGGCCGGATCATGTGCTTCGCTGCTTTGCTCACCGAGTCGCTTCAGAACGTCCTTTCGCAAAGGCACGTTTGGGCGTCAGGCGCGAGCGGTCGTGATGAATGTCTACTTTCAGATTCGGCAGGAGACTCCGGCCGCGTCGTACCACGAATGCGTTGTAAACAAGAAAAGCGTCCGGGCCACTACAATTCACTGATACGCGGCGAAATCAGGGCACACCTTTACCTATCGACCACATTGAACGCCGAGAAGATGGTGGAAAGGACTACGTCTCGAGACCTCGTATATCCAGACATTACAAGGAAACATCAACGCCCGGGTCATCGGGCACCTTGCAATGTGTACTTACATCTCGAAACTATGCCGAAATGCCAGACAGGTGGAAAGCTCGGACACAGACGGCAGCGGCAAGCCTACGTACTGACATTCCCTGTGATTAAATTTCAGAACGTGAAAGGACTCCTTTTAAACCTGCAGCAGACGATACCGTTGATACACCCGTAGCAGAGGAAAACTCGGCGAACGCGGGCGGCGCGGACGACCAGCGGCGCAGCGGAGTGATACAAAAGTGCAGGCAAGATCAAGTGACCAATTGCCGACGTGTGATTGGCTCCAGCGACACGTAGCTTTGGCTGCGCTCGGACGGAAGCTGCAACGAAGTATAGCTTGCAGTCAAGGCACACTGGCGCAGCACCCTTATGACGTCACGTCTCGGCCGTACGACTGATGATCAGTGTTGTCATCCCTCTAGCGGAAAGCTTCGATTTTGCCGTTGACGCCTGAAACTAAACTTTGAGCCGTGATATTTATAAAGCTGCACGTAATATCGAGAGACAGTGACTGAGCTGAAAACAGTCGTAATCCCGAATTCAAAGACATTGCCCGGATTTGCCCTTTGATGTCTTGTGCCGGTGCAAAGCCTCGAATAACGATTCTCAACCTCTTGACAGGCTTACACATGAAGGATTCATCGGACTGATTTCATAAGAGCTCCGGGTATTATAAAATGAGTTTCGTTAATGCAGAAATTCAAAATATAGTTCCGGATTAGGCGCGTCGTTACGTAACCGGATAAACTTAGAGAATGGACTCCGGAATAAGACTTGTAACATTCTGAGCATACAGTTTTAACCTAACATTTCCTCATTGATAACTGTTCTAAAGAGTGATTCCTGTTATTGAAGATTTTACAGTTTTTTTTTCACCCAGTGTTGGTGGTGCCGCGTTACAAGTAACCCGTTACTTTTTCCGGCAACGTAGTAACGTACGCGTTACTTTTTTTCAAAATTGTAACGGGTAACGTACTCACGTTACTTACTTTCAGTAACGTGGAATGGATTTACGTTACTCGTTATATATTTGTCTCAAGACTTAAACAATTCACACTTCATTTTTTTGTGTGTGTTCCTAAGCACGGAGTCATATACATTTTTTTTGCGTTTTTGTTGCGTTTTTTTTTTTTGTGAGTATTGAGGAGGAACCGTAAAACAATATAAGTAAATTATGTTCAATTTCTGGATGAACATAGTGTTCCTTGAAATAGGGCGCTTACGCATACCTATAAAGTCAAAGAGTAAAACGTGTTAAATCATAATTTAAAAAGTAATCCAAAAAGTGAAGTGCGTTACTTTTTAACGGTAACGCGTTCTTTTATTTTGAGGTAACATAGGTTGGTAACGTGTTACTTTTATTTGCAGGTAACGAGTAACGGTATGCCGTTACTTCTTTTCGGTAACGCTTACAACATTGCTTTTACGCCTTTCTCACGGTACATGCAAAGGACTTGACGCGCGCAGAATCCAGACCGCGATTCGCCGATTCATTAAAAAAGCTGATTTTGAAGGCCTTCGTTGAATTGCCTGCCTAAGAAGGCTGTTGGTTGGTAAGTGATTTGTTAAAACCTACAAGTGAGAGAAAAGAAATAAAGAGACACAAAATGTTTCTTGTCTGTCGTTTCGCATACATTACTGGGAACTTAATCAATCGATTCTAAAGAAAGCACGAAGTCGACGAAAGGTGGTGGAATGAAAACTAAGCGACACTCGCTCAAGCCACAAAATGACCGACGCTTCGACGAGAAAAAAAAACGACAACATGGAATTACATGGAAGAAAAAATATTGGTTGGCATTTTGAGTCATGTTTATGATGCTTATTTTCCGGACTACATAATAATAATAGGTATAATAAAACATTACGCGCTTTCGAGGCTCCTTATTTAAAACATTACGGTTGAAATCTCAAATTTGTGCTAAATGACATTTGTTGTACGCATTTCCTGCCGCGTAATATAAGCCAATTACAAAATTGTAGTGCCCAATCCAGCAGCCGTAAAAAGCCAAGTCTACACAGTGAGTGTGAACTTACATTGAGTCTCATCCGTTAGAGAGGTCATCGTTCGCAGCTTGATACCAGGCGCTCCTGAAAAAGAAAAAAAAGAACGATACCTGAGACGCTTCAATCTCCATCGAAACTAAAAAAAAAAAAGAAAAAAAAAAAGAGTCATAGGGACGCGTGTCTTCAACGAGTAACCCCAACACAAGGCACCTTGAATGTGTTCACCGAATCACTCAGCATGGAATAAAGACCCGGGTTTCTCCCCATTCGGTTCTATATCGGCCAGAGCCAACGTTACTAAAACACTCAGTTGGGAAACTCCCATAGAGACAGCTTTGATAAAGTGGCCCCAAACTGTCTCCGAGCACCGAGCTAATGACGAACACAATGCCACCATTTCTCCCGCAGCGGCCACTCGAAAAACTGCATGTGACTTGTATTTTGGCGTTAAGATCAGATACAGCGGTAGAGGTTACAGAGGTGCCACCCCCGTCTCCCCGGCGGACGCGCCACGTTAAGCTACGGAAGTTAAAATGCGCCTAGGGCGGGACGTGCTACCTGAAAGGCCCGCTGAGGCATGGTTGTATAAAAACAATATTAATTGTGCCGCAAAACCCTGCAAACTAAAGATTTTAAAAACATAACGCGCCCCTCTTTTGGTACTAAACTCCAATAAATTTCATACAAAAAGAGTCTTTTTCGTTTGTTTTTACGCAAAAACAGGCTTTCAAAAAGCTCAAGGTGACCACAGTACAGACAAATGATAAAGAGTGCCGCTGTTGTCGCATTTAGCTCGGTCTCGGTGGACGCCAGCGGCCCAGGTTTCGACGGCGAGTTTCCCAACTGAGTGTTTTAGTAACGTTAACCAGAGCGCTGTTTCCAAACAAGGGCGCCTCTGGCCACACCAGGTGTGTGCACTGCGCATGTGCAAAAACCCGATTCACACGAGGTGAAGCGCATGCGCCGACAGCAGCGCCACCTGGCGGCGTGACGTCAGAACCGCTGCGGTGACTGAAGGGGTCACGCAGCGTACAAAAATAACCCGTTTCCCGCGTGTTTTACGCTAGACAAATTGGAGGCGGTTGATTTACTCCTCGAACAAGTGCCCGTAATGTTTTAATGTTCTTTTTTTTTACACAAAAAAAGATACGAAACTTGGCCCGTTTGTGTCGAAGAGATGTGAGCATTACGCATGAGCAGAAGCTCGATTTTTGCGCATACTCCGCTTGGCGAACATGCAGTACCCGTGTCGTTAGAGACATACTGTGGGTAGGTGAGTAAATATAACATTGGGCCAATTGCAACGGAGGATTATGGAATTGAAAGGTTTTTCCAAACAGCCGGCCCGCGTGTTCACCGCGCGACACGGCGGGGCACGAACTCGTCGATTTTTTTGCACGTAATCCCGAAGCGGTACTGGCGGGCGCTAAATTTGATAACTTATGTTAGTGCCCCCAATGAGCGCTTTCCACCACGGGTCGGGTCACGTGATGTCAATTGATGTCACGTGTTATACGCACCAATTCGGTTCCTCCCCTAAATATGGCGAGGAAATTTATGTCACGTGACCCGACGTCACGTGAACTATACATCAATTTACTTTACCCGCCATATATAGCGGGAAAATGGACGTCCCGCGAACTAGAAACCATATGTTTCCACGCTAAGTGACTGGAAAATTAATGTCGCGTGACTTATACACCAACTATTTCCCCGTTAAATTTAACGGGAAATTATTCTCACGTCACCTGCCGTCACGTGACCTATACATCGATCCAGTTTCCCCGCTAAACATGGCGGAAAAATGTTTGTCACGTTGCCTGGCTTGAGGTGACATACACAGCAGTTCAGTTTTCCCGCTAAATTTGGCCAGGAAATCGACGCCGCGTGATTTGACGTCCCGCGAACTATACACAAATTTGGTTTCCCCGCTAACTTTAGTGAGTCACGTGACATCAATCTTTCTGCCAAATGTAGCGGAGAAACTAAATTAGTGTAGAGGTCATGTGACGGCAGGTCACTTGGCTTCCATTTTCCCGTCAAATTCAGTGGGAACAACGAAGTGCTGTAAGGTCGCGTGACGTCAGGTCACGTGACATTAATTTTTTAGCCACATTTTGCAGGCAAACATAACTGGTGTCTAGGTCACATGACGTCATTTTTTTCGCTAACTTTAGCGGGGAAACTGAATTGGTACTTGTGTCCCGTGACTTCGCTTACACCCGAGTCACGAGCATTCACATCTTGTCACTCGTCATCGCAATGCGGTACGAGCCCGTGGATGAATCAATCCAGCTGACACGAAGAACACATCTGGGACGAGTGGACGAGGCCTCTCATATATCCCCCCCTCTCATTTTTTGTGTCATCCGCCAACACTTCCAAGGTAAGAAAGCCTGAATGCTTTCCTGCGTCACTAAAGAAGGCCACAGAAAGCCAGAGATTGGACGCGATTATGGCGTTCGGTTAGGGGTCGTGTTCTCATCCATTGGACACGAGTTCCAACCGAACGTTGGACGGTGGCCTTCTTCAGTGAAGAGGGGAAATTTGGCATTGGGCTTTCTTATCTAGGAAGCGTTGCACCCACGAGTAGTTCTACGCAAATGTATGCAGCATAGCACACCTATGCACCGACCAATATCTTTAATGCCATCTTGAGCGTTGATTTTCCAGCGACAAAAACATTCCACGCTATGCATAGACTATTAATAGAAGTTCAAAAAACCATTAGCTCTGCGCGGAATAGACGCACAGGTTGACCGATGATTGGGTTCGAAATTGCCACCCAGGCCGTCTTTAACGCTACTAATACTTACACGAGCACCCTGCGCCACACTTAAGTGTGACTGAGATAACTTCGGATAAAAGCCTACGTACACTTTGCGCTTTCCACTTTTGCTTGCCTCCTCCTTTCTTATATCTTCTTCACTTTTTACCGTCTCCCAGTTTGGCTTTCCTCGCAGCTGAGGAGAGGAAAGCGCTAAAAGGATTTCCTTCCCTGCAAGACACCGAGGTTGTACGTCGGCCTTTCAGGTTGCCCGGGGCTTGGTGGCACCAACCCGAGCAGTTTGAATAATCCACTCCTTCACGCAGAATCGGCTATGGCAATCGCCTGTAGTTATGCCACGCACAGCGCTTTACCAGGCCGTGAAGATGAGTCAACAAAGCCCATCGCAATTGTTTCTACGCCTGGACGCAAGCAGCAGCAGCAGCAGCAGGGATGATACTGCAACTTGCCACAAGCTCGACAACGCATCGTCGTCCTCAGGGACGTCACCAGCGCTCTACAAAAACCGGGAGCGTCCGTTCGCTGCCTTCAGTAGGCTCGGTGGCACCAACCCGAGCAGGATGAATAATCCTGATCTTCACGGAGGTTGGTAAAAACCGCTGTTTGTTAAAGTCACTACGCGACAACTCTGTTGTGCTAGTGGTGCTGGCGAGCCTCGGCTGTGTTTTGAATATTGTAAATGAGTGCTTGAATCTATTTTGCTTGCTGCTGTAATTATGCGGGGATGTCGAACTTAACCCCGGCCCTCAGACAGACGCGTTAGAGCAAATACTTGACGGGCACAAAAAAGATGGGAGCAGACATCACGGAGCTAAAAGACAAACTAGGATCCTTAGATAAGCGGCTAGAAGCAATTGAGGGGTCCACCTTGGCTTTGAAAGATCTCTCTGCTCAATTTGAAGAATCTCAAGAAACAATAAGAACCTTAGAGGTCTCTACCAAGAAACTCGAAAGAAAGATCGATGAGTTAGAGAATAGAGACCGACGCAACAAACTAATAATGTACGGAATTAAAGAGGGTGACAATGAGACCGAGCAAATGCTGATGAACGCTGTAGTTAAAGACATTTTTGAAGTCAAATTGGGAGTTGAGGTGAAGAGTGTTGAGAGGGTTCACAGTCTTGGACGGAATTATCCGGGGAAGATCGAGCCAGTCAATCTTAAGTTTTGTGATTTAAAGGAAAGGAATGACGTACTTCGAAATTCGTGGGAACTTAGGGGCACAGCTATTTTTATAAACCAGGATTTTTCGGCCCATGTTCGAGGCTTGCGAAATGAACTATGGAAGAGTGCCAAGGCAAATAGAGCGGACAAGGAAAAAGTGACGATGTCATTTGATAAGCTAAAAATTGGGGACACGTTATATCGTTGGAACGAAGATAGCAACGAAAGGGAGCAAATAGCCCCGCTAAGAGTCGAACGTCTCGAAGCCCAATGACAGAGTCACCCTGCTTACAACAACGACCTGACAGTTATCAACATGAACGCACGAAGTATTATGAATAAAATTGTCGACCTTGAGCACATTTTGATAGAGCATGATCCTGATGTTGTAATGATAACCAAGACGTGGTTGACTCCTTTCGTTCTTGATTGCGAAGTCATTCTTCCGGGATACAAGATTTTTCGAAATGATCCAACGACTAGTGGTGGTGGGGTGGCTATTGTTATCAAGGATACTTTGGTTTGTACTCACAATCAAGGTACCCCTAATATAGAGGACACATGGTGCAAAATTGAAGTAGGTAGGGCCGAAGTAATTCTTGGGGTGATATACAGACCACCTGGTATGGGAATAGAGTTCGTAAGGGAGTTGGGGGAGACGTTTTCTAAACTTGCGGTTCACTCCAAGAGAGCTATTATTGGTGGAGACTTCAATTTCCGTGACATTGATTGGAATGGCTTTGTATCGGCACACAGGAAATCCGCAATCTCGACTTTATTCTTGGGCCTTATTTTTTATAATAACCTTACGCAGCTTCTTGAGGACTTTACACGGATTCAAGGTCAATCGAGTTCAATATCAGACTTACTTTTTGTCAGCGACTCTTTGTTGCGAACTTTATACAGCTGCAAGGTAATGCCCGGAATCTCTGGTCTTTCCATGGTGTACTTGTCCCTCTTAATTAGAACTCAACCGGTTAGAGAACGAACGGTCGTTACGTACAAAGACTTCTTCAGTAGAGCGGATAATGAGGGTGTGCTGGATAAACTAGAATTTGCCTTCGACAAGTTGAAGGTTTTGAATGAAAGTCGCACATCGCTCATTGATCACCTGTGGCATTTCTTTACGAAACTAGTTGTAGAGTGCCTTGATAAGTGCGTCTCTACCAGAACAAAAAAGAAAGCTGAACGCCATCCATGAATTAACAGAGAGATTATTCAGCAGAAACGAAGAATCTCACAATGTTGTGCTCAAAAAAAACAAAAAAAAAAAAACAACGGATCGTTGCAAACGTGATAGCTTACGGCTACTCAG